AAAAAAAAAAAAAAGAAGTAACACAAAGAGGAGTATGATGTAACATAATGAACATATCCGGCACAATTTTTTATTTTTTTTTTTATTTTTTTTTTCCCAAAGATTCAAAATTTATCTTGGGGCGCACCTAAACCACAATCTTGCAAGCAAAATAGAAATGTGTTGAAGTACGTTTCAATTTACAAATTCAAGAGGAGTATCATGAACATTTGTTGGCCGAAGTCTTTTTTTTTTTCGGAGATGTAACGGAGACGTTGTCGGTGCTCTCTTTCATCTGTTCGGGTTGCCGATTTGTCCTCCCTTCACTGTCTTCTTCACGTTCTGTTGTCGGTAGATTTTGTTCTGGGGAGAGATCCATACAGTCGCAGAGGTGGGTGAGGGATTTTATGGAGGAAAAAATTGAGACGCTCGTATGGCATCAGAGATAGCTCAATCGATTTGAAATGTGCAAAAGGGGGAAAAAAAAAAAATTTAGAAGGCAATGAATTTTTTGCAGGAAGGGCTGGTGGAGTTGGGTGCCTGTGACAGACTTTAATGTGGGCCCAATGAATAACACTGATAAACAATCACATTCAACGGTAAATTTGAGTTCAAAATCAGATTTATTTGGGCCACTTAGGGTGTGTTTGGTTCAATGGAGGGGAAGGGAGGGGAGGGATTTTAATGGAGAGAAAGGGAGGGGAGGGGAGGTGATGTAAAATAATTTTACCTTGTTTGGATGGATAATTTAGAAGGGGAAGGGAGGAAAAATGGTAAACCTTGTTTGGTTCAAAAACTAAATGAAGGAAAAATAAAATTAAAATGACAAACTTACCCTTAATGAAGTAAGATAAAAAATAAAAAGCAATTGAAAGTAGGGACTAAATAGTCATTTAACATCATCAAATAACATTTCCCCTCCAAATCCCTCCAATTTTGGGGGGGAGAAAAAGTGAGGGAGGGGAGGGAAAATTACTTAAAATTTTCCTCTCCCTCTCCTCCTAGTTTTGCAACCAAACAAAGGAAAATTAAAATTCTTCATCCCCTCCCCTCCCCTCCCCTCCAAATCCCTTGAACCAAACAATACCTTAATAAACAATGCCCCCCTTAAATACCTTGGCATTTTAAATAACAAATATCGAATAGTTTTTAATTGAATTAGGAAACCCACCAAATTCCTCGAGAAATGAGGGCGGACTCTCCCCAACCACCGAAACAGGCGGCTGCAGCGCCGCCGCACCCGGAGGAAGACATCACCGGAGAGCCCCTCGCCCGGCCCAACGCCGGCAGTGCGGGCGTTGGCATCGGGGCTGGAGGTCTCCGGAAGAAGGCGGCGGGCGTTAGGGCGTGGCTGAAACTGGACTCGACGGGCCAGGCGGAGGTCGTGGAGGTCGGAAAACACGTCATCATGAGGTGGACGGGCCTTCCGGCCCGAGATCTCCGTATACTCGATCCGCTGTTGTCTTATCCGTCGACCGTGCTTGGCCGTGAGCGTGCCATTGTCATCAATCTGGAGCACATAAAGGCTATTATCACGGCGCAGGAAGTTCTCTTGCTCAATTCCAGAGATCCTTCGGTGAGTCCGTTTGTCGACGAGCTTCAGAGGAGAATTTTGCGCCACCAGCAAGCTGTCAAATCTCAGGTTCCTTCTTCCTCACCCGTCCGAATTTTATCGATAGATTCTAAGATAATTGTGATTTGAACGCTAATTTGTCTGTGATGAGTGTATATAAGATTCTGTTTCAGGGTTAGTTTTTTATTTGAGTTGATCATCATGGCACAATTTGTTGATACTCGTTGTTTGTTTCACTGAATTTGTTGCTGGCATGAATTTATATATGTTTTTGGCTAAACCTCAAGGTTTGATTTTGTTGTTGTTACCGTATTTGGTATATAAATTAATAATATCTCATAAGGTGAGCATAATGGTTGTTAAGGAAACTGGAGATGGTGAAAATGCCCCCTGGACAAACTTGTATGATATAGAAGGGCCTCATGCGGTACCACTAAATCCCCCGAATTACTCGAAGAAAAGCAAGGAAGATGGAGGGGAGGTAGAAGGGAAAGAACAATCTCCCGAGAATCGTGATGGCCCAAAGTTGCTGCCGTTTGAGTTTGTTGCATTAGAGGCGTGCCTTGAGGCTGCTTGCAGTTGCTTGGATAATGAAGTATAGAACTATTTTTCAGTCTCTTGGTGATTATAATCTAATTCGTAGTCATTTATTGCTTTTCTAATTATTAGATGTGATGTTTTGCTGCTTTGGCCTCAAACTAGGCAAGGACATTGGAGCAAGAAGCTCATCCAGCATTAGATAAATTGACTTCGAAGATCAGTACACTCAATCTGGAACGTGTGAGGCAAATTAAAAGTCGGCTAGTTGCTATAACTGGTCGTGTTCAAAAGGTTTGGATGAAGTAATTTTGTGTCAGTTTATTTCTGTAATGGGTTTAGTGTCATCATTGTTCGACCTTGAATATGAAATTTCGTGTCATCTTTTGCAGAAGCGTTGGAAGAGACGGTTGTCTATTTTAAATAAATGTTCGTTTATTTTCCTTCCAATAAACTATACTAATCGTTGATTGATTCTTGACTGTTATTTGGAAAGTGACATTTGACGCAGAAATTTAAATTATTATTATCCTTTCACTGACTGAGGTTGAAAACCTTTAAATGCGTTAATAAAATCAAAGTTGACTCTCAAAGATGCCAGTGAAGCAACTATGTCAGCCTTTATGTTATCTTCTAGTGCTAAATATCTTGCTCTGGATAAAAATCTTATGTTGACCATGTTATTTGTCTTGGTATATGAAAAATGTGAACTTATATGTTGGGTTGCTCTTGGGTAAACCATTATCAACTCCCATGATTTGAAATATTGTTTGATTTCATTTTTGCAGCTTATACCTTATCACTTGGCTTTCTTACTTTTTTGTTTTGCTGCACATATTCATGAGTGCATTTTCTGAAATTGTTTTTCTTTTTTTAATTACATGTAATATTTTGTCAATGGTAGAAAAGGGATATCCTACCTAACAACTTAAAAGTTTATTAGTCCCAAAACGAATTTTTTTCCTGGAACTTTATAGCTTTCAGTTGTCTTACTTCTTTTCATATCTATATCCAGCAAGTTCTGACCCATTTTGTCCATTGGGAAATTAAGTTCAAAGGATCAAATTCTCAAGAAAATATATTTTTCAGCAACTCTTGCTGATTGTTTCTCGTTTCCTTATGGTGATATCATTCATACAGTTGTAGCCTCTTTGAGATGCTACTAATTTTTGTTCAACTAGTTAAATTCCAACTATGTTATATCAGGTGAGGGATGAGCTGGAGCATTTGCTTGATGACGATGATGACATGGCAGAAATGTATTTGACCGACAAACTGCAGGAACAGCTAGAGAATTCCTCTGTTACTTCCATGGATGAGCAAGAGCCAGATGAGTTGGATGATGCAAACATTGATGAGAGGCACGTGAAAAATTTGAAACCCTTTCTTGTCTTATCTTAATCTGAATATTTCTCGAAAATATACACAACTGCATTGCATTTCCAACTCTAGGACTCCTACTGAAATATTGATGGAAGGCAATGAGGGTTTAGATGCCGATCGACATAGAATTGACAGCGGCAGGGAACAGTTATTCGGTGGCCCTAATGTCCTGAGCAGAGGCAGTCACGGGACCCATCACAACCTTGATGTGGCGGAGCTTGAGATGCTCTTGGAAGCTTATTTTGTTCAGATTGATGGCACACTCAACAAGCTGTCCACTGTATGTAATCCCTCATTCTGCTTGCTACTTACTAAAACCTCAATGTTTCTATGAAGTGATTTTGCAGGCTCAATCCATCAAAACTACCCGTTGATATGTTTTTTTTTTTTTTTTTTTTTTTTTACATATTTTTGGATATTTAGCGGCTTGTTGATTGATTGATTGATTGATTTTTGGATATTTAGGGGATGATGGGAAACAAGAAGGAACTGGTTTTTGGTTTTTGACTGACCAGATAATTTATACACTTTTTTTAACCCAAAATCCAACTCAAGCTTAATCCAACATTACCCTTTTAATATTATTTATTCACTTACATAATTGTAACTATCCATCATTTCAAATCACCTTTCTCCTACTTTTACGTTACATCAACTTTAATCATTACACTTCTAATTTTATTTAAATAAAATTCCAATAAATCCTCTACTAAATCAACTTTATTCAAACTATCAAACGAAGTCTTAGAATTAACAAAACTCATAGCACCATTAAATTGAGAGTTTCAAAAAGAAAAAAAAGGACAAGATTGGTGTTCACCATAAAATAGTAAGTAAACATTTGCATAATATTTTTTTTGAAAAAAAAGGGAAATAGACGATAGCAAGAAAACCGAGCAAGAGTTTCATACTTTCCTTAATTTTCTCCAACAATCTCGTATTTTCCTTAATTTTCTTCATTTTGCTTTTTTTTTTCTTTTTTTTTTCTTTTTTTTTTTACTTTGTAACAAATTTGGTGTTTTAAAACTTTAAATCAACTCTCAATATAATTGTGTTATGAGTTTTGTTAATTTTAGGACTTAATTTGATAGTTTTATAACATTTAGGTCCTAAATTGAGAAAAAAAATCTTTTAGGCCCCGATTTGATAGTTTACCTATCTTTCAAGCCTTGTATTTAACTCCGTTTTTACTTACAAACTAAGGATGCTATTATGTATAAATCGACGGTTATACATTGTATAAATTTGTATATTTTGATGGGAATCGATATTTATTTATTTTTATTTATTTATTTATTATTATTATTATTTTTTTCTTTCGATTAAAGCTGAGGGAATATGTGGACGACACAGAGGACTACATCAACATAATGTTGGACGACAAGCAAAACCATCTGCTGCAAATGGGTGTCATGCTGACCACAGCAACCCTTGTGGTGAGTTCTTTTGTGGTGGTATCCGGGATTTTCGGCATGAATATCACAGTCGAGCTCTTTCAGGATGAGGTTCATGGAATGACGAGGTTCTTGTGGACGGCCGGTGGAGGTACAGCTGGCACTATTTTTCTGTACGTGATTGCCATTGCTTGGTGCAAGCACAAAAGGCTGCTGGAATGATATTGCTCGTCTTTACCGAGTTCTTGATGAGTTGTTTTCTTTTCATATTTCTCTCATATTTACTATTTGGCATTTCTATTGCACCTTTTTTTTTCAATCAATTGCAGATTTAACCGAGTCATTCTGTGCTTTTTTATTTAAGGTACAGTCGTTGGTTAAGTTGATGTAAATAATCGATTAGATATTTTTTAATATCGATAATTTTTAGCAGAATATTCTAGAAAATGCAAATGTATTCAAGATTGTGAACAGATGAAATTTGGGGGATATATAAAAGCTAAGTTGACAAACCAGTTAAACATTTTGTATTTTATTTTATTTTTATTATTATTGTTTTTTTTTTAATAGTGTTTGGTACGAATTGTTAAAAGTGCTAAAATTATGCTGTGTGTGTATCATGCGTATTTGTTAAAATTGTTAAACGCTGTTTAGAAGGCAGATTGGGTCCTATGGGTTTCATGACTGATTTAATTTGGACTAATGCTATAGACATTTGTATGACAATTTGAGTTACAACTCAAGGGTAAATGTATTATTTTTTAATTTTTTTGATAATACGTTACACTTAGATTGTAATTCAAGTTATCATCCAGGTGGCTAAATAACATTACTATGCAGTACACGATTTATAAAAAGAGTAAATTACATAATGTGCTATCCAAAATATAAAATATTGCATATGTACTAATATAATTTTGAGAAAATTACTCCCTACTGTTGGGAAATAAGGTCGGATAAAATGGAATAATACTAACACAATGTGAAATCAATAAAAGACATGAAGATTTGTTAACCCAGTTCGGATTAAATCCCACGTCTGGGGGTGAACCAAGCCAGGAGAATGAACTAGAAGAAGAGGATAAATCGAATGTTACAACTCACACAAACACGTATGAATACACTCTCTCTACTCTTTTTTGTTATGTTTTTTTTTTGGTTTGTTATATTTTGTTCTTCAAATTTACATCTCTATTTATTGAGAAAAATGCTGCCAATTTTTCCACATATGTGTAGTTCATTTTTTCTACACATGTGGGCTGGTGTTTTATTTTTTTTTCAGTGGTGTGTTGTAGAAAGGAATAGGGCTGCAGCTCCCATTTTTTACTCAATAGTCTCCCACTTGAGGACTGATTTCAATCTGTCCTCACACCTTCATTATCTCCCACTTGAGGATTGATCAACATGTTCATTTATGCTCCTGGTTCTGCCGGGTCTGTCTGTTTAATCATCAAGGCCGGTCGAAGTTACACACAACTTCAACTTTTCCAAAGTTACCGCCTTGGTCAACATGTCTGCAGGATTCCTATCTTCCCAAACCTTTTTCAGCTGCAATATTTCTTCTCTAGAAGTTGTCGGATGAAATGATACTTAACCTCGATGTTCTTCATTCGCGAGCGAAACGCGGGGTTCTTTGCCAGATGGATTGCACTCTGACTATCGCTGTATAGAGCCACATCCTCTTGAGGTCTCCCAAGTTCATTCAGAAAGTTTTGCAGCCAAACGAGCTCCTTGGTTGCCTCCGTCACTGCCACGTACTCAGCTTCCGTTGTTCACAATGTGACTATCTTTTGCAGCTTTGAGATCCAAGATACGGCCGTCCCGCCGTAAGTGAACACGTACCCAGTAATACTCCTCCTCTTGTCATGATCACTTCCTGCAAAATCAGCATCGTTAAACCCAGACAGGGTAAGGGTACCCCTGCCAAATACCAATGCCCGGTCCTTAGTACCCCTCAGGTACCTAAGGATCCACTTTACCGCCTCCCATTGTATCACTCCAGGATTTCTCATGAACTGGCTGACTACTCCCACTGCATGTGCTATGTCTGGTCGGGTGCAGACCATAGCGTACATTAGGCTCCCGATGGCCGAAGCATTCGGCGTAACTCTCATCCTTTCTTTTTCAGAGTCATCCTTGGGAATCCTTGTTGGACAACTTGAACTGGCTTCCCAATGGCACTCCAACCGGCTTTGCAATATTCATATTGAATCTGCACAACACCTTCTCAATGTAATCAGATTGAGAAAGCCAAAGTTTACCAGCATTCTTGTCCCTCGTGATTTTCATGCCCAATATCTGTCTCGCTTCTCCTAGATCCTTCTTATCAAATCTCCTTGATAGCTGATCCTTGAGCCTCTCGATCTCCTTGACATCTGATCCTGCTATCAGCATGTCATCCACATATAGCAGTAAAAGAATGAAAGAGTTACCGAACCTTTTCACATAGCAACAATGATCAGCATTACACCTGGAGTATCCTATCTCCAGCATGAAATTATCGAATTTTCAGTACCACTGTCGAGGAGCCTGTTTCAGTCCGTACAAGCTCTTCTTTAGGCGGCAGACCTGCTGATCATTTTCTTTATACCCCTCTGGCTGCACCATGTAAATTTCCTTCTCGAGATCCCCATGTAGAAAGGCCGTCTTCACATCTAACTGTTGCAACTCCAAGTTTTCCGCCGCTACCATGCTTAACAGCAGACGGATAGTGGTTAACTTAACAATAGGAGTAAAAACATCGGTAAGGTCAATACCGTATCTCTGTTGGAATCCCTTTACTACAAGTCTGGCCTTGTACCATTTTGTTCCATCTGATTCCTCCTTGACCCGATAGACCCATCTGTTTTGAAGCGCCTTCTTTCCTTGAGGAGATCACACAAATCCCATGTGTGGTTCTTCTTTAACGAGTTCATCTCGTCGTCCATCGCAAGCTCCCACTTGCTCTTGTGGGCATCTTTAACTGCCTCTGCATAACAGTCGGGTTCCCCAGAATCAGATAAAAGTAGGTAATAAAGAGAAGGGGAGTACCTATCTGGGGCCCTTCTCATCATCGGTTCTTGGCCCAGTGCCAGAGGCGTGTTGCTCTCAGCAATCGGTTCCTCTAATTTTGGTTCTGTCTTTTCTTTTGTACGCTCGATCTCATCTATATGAGCTCCCACTGAATCTGCTGGTCTCATAATTCTGGTATTTGAAATATCGAGACCAACATACTTCTGCCTAGTCTTGTCATTATTCCAGGTATTCCTTCATGTCCTTGTACATTATGTCTTCATTGAACACCACATTACGACTGCTAATTATTTTTTGATTTTGATCATCCCAAAATCTATACCCAAATTCGTCAGTCCCATATCCAATGAATGTACATTTGACCGACTTAGCATCCAGCTTTGTCCCGTTGTCGTAAAAAACGTAAGCCAAACAACCAAAGGTACGTAAGAAAGAGAGATCAACTTCCTTACCACTCTAGACCTCGTTTGGAATTCTGTTGTTCAGTGGGACAGAAGGCCCACGGTTGATCAAGAAAGCGGTCGTGCTGACTGCTTCTGCCCAAAACATCTTGGGCAGTTCACTCTTCAATCGCATGCATCTCGCACGCTCATTCAGTGTCCTGTTCATCCTCTCAGCAATGCCATTTTGTTGAGGTGTCCCTAAATTGTATTATGCATTCAGATCCCACGATCAGCGTGTTGGTGTTATATACTTAAGCTGTGCTTTAGTGGATATTACACTTGTTATTCCT